AGGTAGGCCGTCAGCTTGTTTGCCATTCTAAGTTGCATAAAAAATATGCAATAAAAATGTATGTAATGTCTATTGTAGTTCCTTTAGTTATTAGAAAATTTGAATCTGCAGATTTCAAATTATAGAACAATTCAACCAATTCAATTTTAAAAAACTTTGAATAAAAGTTGTCTGCATGTATTCTTCTATCCTACTCATGTTTATGCCACGAAACAGCTGTGTTTGCATCGCTGGGTTTCTGTTTGAAGATTCTACATAATACCACGGTCTTTAGGAATGGGAGGAGAGAAGGGATTGTCAGTAATAGAGATTACCAGCCTCATTGCAATCAACATACCCTACTGAGCTACCTTCTTGTGGTTCCCTCTAGGGGCCATTATGATGACCAACTGACATGCTTTCATCCTCATCTATCATCCCTCACTGATGCCCCGCTGGTGTATACAGATAGCCCAAGCGGGGTTACCATTCCATTTTTACCTATGAAAGAAAAGTTCTTATAAATGGCACTGCATGAGAGATACTGTGAGTATAACAGTGTATCCATGGTTATATTCATGTACATAGGTGAAGTTTTTACAGCTTTTCATTAGATGAACCCTCAGTTTGTTTGTTTTAAGAAGTATTATAAAAAAAAAAGTGATAATAATAATAATAATCATTTTGTTTTAATTTAAATACACTATTGGGACTTAACGCAATGAAAAACCTTTGCAGGTAAATGAAACCTATATACCTGTTTTTTTATTGCCTACGTTCCGATATTTCGAGATGGATTCTATAATGTCGTGGTCGTAACAACGTGAAAATTTAAAATTAACTATTTTTTTTTTTTCATAGTACTTAGAATAACAAGAAAAAATGGGTAAGTGATGCGAACGACAATTTATAACTTAAAACTTATTCTAATATCAAACTATATATTCTGTAAAGGTGTCCCAGTATGCAGTCGTATGTTTTCAATTCAGATACGAAACTTTGTGAAAGTAGGTCGAAGGGCCAGAGAAGTTGATAGCCAGTTACGGATCAATGTAACAAAACTGGTTCAAGAAAAATCTACGAATATTGTCCTAATATGATATACAAATTATATTGTAAATACGTAAATTTAAATGCGTTCGAAAAACTACGCCACATGTTTTCATCCAAAATATCTCAAAAACTGAAAACGAAGGTCTGTAGCTAGTTACGACTTATGGAACCGGAACATGGTCCTACACGATTGCCCGTATATAAAAACTTCAAATTACTCAGCGGGCTGTGGAGAGGGCTATGCTCGGAGTTTCTTTACGTAATAGGATCCGAAACGAGGATATCGCAAAAGAACCAAAGCAACAGATATATCCTGAAAGGTAAGCAAGCGGAAGTCGCAATGGGTTGGTCGCCTAGCTCGAAAAACCGACAACATATGGGGAAGAAAGGTTCTTGTGTGCCGACCCCGTACTGGCAAACGCAGTGTAGACCGACCCCCCACTAAATGGCGTGACGACCTCAAGTGCATTGCAGGGAGTCAGAGGATGCAGGTGGCTCAGGACCGTTCCTTTTAGCAATCTATGGGGGAGGTCTATGTCTAACAGTAGACGGATAATGACTGAAATGCTGATGATGTTGATACCTAAATGCATTTTGTTCTTGACATTTTATGCAACTTCGAATCCAATAGCAAACAAACTGACGGCCCACCTGATAGAAAGTGGTAACTGTCACCTAAATGTAGCCATGGAAACAATTGCTTAACGGTAAAAACACAAATGGAACAGAGGTACTCAAGCAAACGACTTTTATGCAAAGTTTTCCTCTAGTAAAATTTCAGAAAGTGATAATTATAATATTTTTATTTTATTTACTTTTTACATGCAACAAGTTAACAAGTAAACATTGACTCATAAATATCATATTTAAAATTATTTATTTGTATCTAGCAACTTTTCGCATATTTTTTTTAAATACAATATAATCCTTGATATTCACTATCACAGTATGCTCCCAGAATAATATGGTCATTCTTTCCTTTCCCATGGCTGTCATAAGAGGCGACTTAATGGATAAGGAATGGGTAGCAACGTCCCTCTTAAAACATCACCAAATCCACGCTGAGGTTGCCAACCTGCCTGCTAAGAGTGGAAACTACTGGCAAAATCCCTCCTTATGAGGGTAGCTTATGTTCAACAAAGAAAAGTTAAACTAATCTGTAGAAGAAACTATTTTTAAAACCGGTTACAGATACAAATACATTAAAAGTACCGAATTTATAAACTATAGTTTATAAAATTTTGTTTAAACAAAGATGATGTCAATAATGCTAAGTAAATTAATAAAAAATATATAAATACATACATATCTGTCACGCCCGTCTCCCATTAGGGTAGGCAGAAACAATGGAACGCCAAATGCTTCGATTCAAACAAACCTCTTTCGCTTCTTCCACATTCATCAATCTTTTCATACACGCTCGCCGGTTACGGGTACTTAAAATATATAATTAATAGACAAAAATCCTTACTGATACTTTAATGTGAAATTAAGCTTGCTTGTTTGTTACCTTATAGCGCCTTAACGGCTTAACCAATCAATATGAAATTTGGTATACACCATATGGGTTTTAGAAAGATGTAGACTACTTTATATCCCGGTCAATAAACATATCCCGGTCACGCAAACAAAGATGCAGGTAAAAGCTATTGTAAGATAAAAATAAGGATTAATAAAATGCCAAACCGTACATAGTTCCCATGTCAGAATTTGCCCTTTTTTGCCTTGAAAAGGTCATGAGTCTCGATCTATTACATTCAGTAGCTATTTGACCTTAACCTTTTACAATTCTTGATATGTAAGAAATTCTACATCGTGCATTTAGAATTACTTGACTAAACAATACTCTTACTCTAACTACCCTATTTAGAATTATGAACGTGAATTATGACTTACACAATTCGTACACGGCCTAAGTAAACTAAGCAAAACATAAACACGACTGCCACTCGGCCGCTACTTGAAACGGTCAGTTGTGACGGACAAATGGGCACTCGAAGCGAGTTACTCGAACCACTAAGCTAGATTGGCGCAAGTTATAAACTGATCGCGGTGTAACAGGATTGATATTATTAATTTTCATGCGTAGATTGTGTTCTAATTTTAAATTATTATTATACTTTAGTTATATCTGTCTCTTTATCTGCCTGTATATTTGTAAGACACAATCACTATAAAATTATATTTAGATTAAACGACTTATAAATACAGAGTAAAATCTCAAATAATCACAAAAAGATGGATGTTTGTATTATACTAAAAGACTAATGTATAAAATTGTTCCTTATCATTACTGATTAAATACTGAATGACCAAACGTTAGAATAAATAATGTAATTTGGTCTTTTGTAAAGAGTTGATCTATGATCAACTCTCTATGATCATTCAATATTCTCCAACTTACCAATATAGATATAAAAAAAACAAATTTTTTGAAAAAAAAACAATATATATCTTTATTGGTTTTTTTCAAAAAAGCACAGTACAACTTAGTAAAAACTAAATAAAAAACAAAAAAAAAACTTCTACACCACTTTTGTACATTTTACTAGCAGATCCTGGTAAACGATGCTCCCTACTGCCAACTCGCAAGTCGAAACATTTTTTTACCAAATTTTTTTACTTAATTTTTCGAATGTATTCATTATGTTGTATTCATTCATTTTTCGGTCTATATTTTCTAGTCAGAATTAAAAATTATCTATCATATTTCACAATTTGTAATAAACAATATACATTTATTTAAACTTCGTTGTTCTGGAGTTCACGCTAATAAAAGAAAACTTCGTTTTCGGACATTGGCGTGAACAAACGTCGTAACCCGGAATTTTCATTACAATTCAGTAACTTTCCCGCTATTTCTTGTGTATTATAACCTCGAGTAACTGGCCACTCAACAACGATCGTTGTTCTGAGAGATTGACGTACAACTGTAGGGTGTGTGAGTGCAAATGAGGTTTTTTGTTAACCGTTGCTTGTTAGTCGCTCACGTGTCCGCTTCATCATTTGTTTACTTTTCCCCCATTTCCCGTCACGAAATCTTAATGAATGTATATGAATGATTTATTAATGATAATGATTCAATGCAGCTGTGTACACGTGAATTCATATGAATATATCGGATGACCGTCTGTGTACCAAATCTTATTCAAATCGCTTTGGCCATGATTGATAGATAAACATATTTTTTATAAAAGAAAGTCATTTATCCTTATCATCATCATCATATCAGCCTTTAACTGTCCACTGCTGAACATAAGCTCCCCCTTGGGGGGTTTTGTCAGTAGTTGCTACTCTTGGCAAGTGGATTGGCAACCGCAGTTAGGCTTTGGAAACGTTTTTAAGAGGGACGCTGCTGCCCATTCCTCCACCATAAGTTCCCTTAGTCGCCTCGTATGACGCCCACGGGAAACGAAGGGGTAGTCCATTTTATGCCGGGATCTACACGGCAGTAGTGGATAAATAATAATAATAATAACAAGCTTTATTTAAAACAGTAACTTACAGAATTGCTTAACAATGGTCCCCATATGGGTCGAGCCTGTATCCGGGGAACCTATTAAACACATGTAACTTATCATACTTACTGTACCTTATAACTTATACACTATTATAATTTTTATATTCCTTTTACAATGACTGAATGGATATTTTTTTTATTTAATATGATATGAAACTATAGTATGCTTGCATTTCAATAATTTTTTTTATACCACTGAGGTGTCAAACAAGCATACGGCCCACCTGATGGTAAGCGGTTACCGTAGCCTATGAACGCCTGCAATACAAGAGGCATTACGCGCGCGTTGCCGACCCTGAAGAAACCTCTTTACCCCCCTTTTGAAGAACCCCATGCTGTAGTCTCTTGGGAAAACCTCGGCAGGGAGCTCATATTTTCGACAATAGGTTTTCAGATCCTCTAATAATAATCGCATAAATGAAAATAAATATTTTATTTTTGTCAACAGTTATCCAAACTACGAGATGATCGAGCGGGCAACGGACAATCGTCGGCGGCGGTCACCATGTAACATTGTAACATGAGGCCCAGTAACTTCGCCTTGTACATCACAAGCCTGCTTTGGCTTCACCTGATTGATGCGAAAATTGGTAAGTGAATTCGTGCTATAAAAATATTTGGTTAGAAGTGACATTTAAATAGGCATAGGTGTGGGGAAAGGGACTGTTAGCAGTGGAGTTTGACAGTCCCATTGCTAGCAATATGCCCTATTAGATCGACCTCCACGTGGTTCTCCCTGGAAACCATCGTGAACAATTCTTGTTGAATTCGTCACGATGGGTTAACTGACCTACTTCATCCTCACCTATCATCTTTCACTGGTGCCCCGCCGGTGTATACCGATAGCGCGGGTGGGATTCCATTATCACCCACTAAAAAAAATAGGCATAGGTAATGTGGAAACCGGGGATGGAAGAGATTGTTACTAATTCAGACTACCAATCCCATTGCCAGCATTATAACCTGAGAGGTCGACCTCCACATGGTCTCCCTGGAAACTATCATACTGAATCCACTTGTAATTATCACGATTGGCTAACTTACCTGCTTTTTAATTGTGAGTAGCTTTGACGTGGTCTAGTGTTTTGAGTAGTCATGCTCACTAAAATGTCCAGACTTGTGGCGGCGTGGTGGACCGGGTCATTGGGCTCCCTAAAATATGGACGAGCGCAGTGATGGCTGGCTCAGCCGTCATACTCGTGAACGGGTGCTGCTTGTAGGGACTGGTCTGCTCTAATCACTATGGCTGATTTCCTCTTATTAATTGTTTAACCAGTTGGTTATGTATTCAATATTTTTTCTTTTTGAGTATTTAATTGAATTAGTGCTAATTGGTGGTTTGTATTCACACACTTAAACTTAAAAATGTAAAGTAATAATAAAATTATTTAAAAGAGCAACACGCAAGTTTCTTGCTCGTTCTTCTTGTGATGAGACAGCTTTCCGAACGAGCGGTAGATTAAAAAAAATGTAATGACTATTCAAAAGTGCTTCAATGTAAGTTTATTTGAATAAATGATTTTCTATTCTATTCTATTCTATTATTCTTACCTGTCATTCCTGGTACTGGTCATTACTGGTGCCCCGCCAATGTATACCGTTAGCGCAGACGAGGCTACTGTTCCATTATCATCCATTGAAAAAAATATGGATAACGATCCATTATCTATATTTTGAGTTCTTCTAGATATTGATGGCAGATAGATAAATAGATACTCTTTATTATTTCCTCCAAAAGATTACAATAGTAAACTTATTATAAATATAAACAATTACAAGAAATAATCACAATGAGAAAACAATGGGCGACCTTATCGCTAAAAGCGATCTCTTGATAAAAGGTCATCATGACCCATTTCGATATCACTCAAATCGGTGTTCCAAATCGGTTTAGAACTGACGGAGTTAGGGGGTAACAAACAAAATAAAATATGCAACTGAATTTAGAATCTCCTTTTTTTAAGTCGATTGCAAACAAATTGTAAAGTTCTAAATGTTATTTTACTAGTATAATAGAAGTGCAGTTACACGATCTCTGTATATAGGAGATATTTAAATAAAAAATATAGAGGAATCTGTAAAAAACCAATAGATGTCATCAATATTTTAAAAAAATTATGTCTGTCTTCTTGTAACATACAATGTTAAGGTATCACGCAAAAACTATTACATCTAATTTAAGTCGGTTTTTACAGATGTATACCTGTGGATCTGTTTTAAAAGCTGGTATATGTTTTATCTTCTTTTTTTTGTTTTTTTATTATTATCACAAAAAATATACAAAGTTACACAAATTATGTTACATTAGCATTCAGAAACCACGTAGGTTTATATTAATACTAAATACATTCAAACTATTTAAATTGTATTAAAATCATGCAAGAAGTATTGTTTTAATTTACATTTTATGCTGCTAATAGTAATATTATCTCGTACATCGGTGGGTAGTTCATTAATAAATCGAGGAACTAAATAGTCAGCCGTACGCTCACCATAACAGTTATTTACGCGAGCGCTATTGGTACAAAGTTGTTTCCGTGCAATCGCCCTCATATATACAGCATGATTAATTTCATTCCAATATTTTTTGTTAAAAAAGTTTTCCTTAAGAAATATGTATTTAGATTGTAGATCTTGATACGTCATCTATATGTGGTCTATGTCACTAGTTTTCCTACTTCTCAAATACCACTCGTACGAAACGGCAGGCGAAAACTTATTTCTATAATAAGATTTATAAATAAATTTCACGCATTTCCACGCAACATCAACTTGTTATTGTCTCGAAACGAAATGTCAAATCAATAGCTGTCACGAAACTTTGACAGTTGTCTGGATGTAACAACGCGAAGTTGTAACAAGGTTAGTACGTCCCCCGGGAACGGTGACTGATCGCTACCTCTCGTCCTTATGTGACTGATTATCACCTATTTGTTATGAAGTTCTGGATGTCTGTGACAGAATTAGAAATTGGGTTAAGTGTTCATCCAATTGCCGTAGATAAAAGAGTATTTAATGTTCTTTCTAACTTATTATTAACTAGCTGTATCCCATTGCTTCGCGCACTTGAATTAATGCATAAAGTACCCTGTATGTTACGGTAGGATTTGAGCTACCCCTATTCAAAATTTTATTTATATCTGATGCATTTAAAACTCTTAACCAGTCAAAAGCAAAATCAGTCAAAAGTACTTTTGATTGAACAAGTTGGTCAAAAGTGGTTTTGACTGAAAATTATTGGTTATTAGTACTTTTGACTGCAAATTTGTGGTTAGGTTACCTAACCTTTAACTGTTAATTTAGTCAAAAGTATTATTGACTAAAGCATATGGTCAAAACACAATATTGCGGCATATAAAAATCGCGATTAAAAATCAGGGATTGATAGTAAAAACGTGAAAATTTGAATTTGTATGTATTTTTCAATGCAAGGTCATAATAAAAAAAATGTCAAAAAAAAAATATTTAGAGGTGGGTCACCCTTATCATTGAGGGGTATGAAAAATAGATGTTGACCGATTCTCAGATCTACTCGATATGCACACAAAATTTCATAAAAATCGGTAAAGCCGTTTCGGAGGAGTTTGGTAACAAACACCGCGACACGAGAATTTTATATATTAGATAATAAATTATTAACGAAATCTTTTAGTTCTGGTCAATTACAGCATGATCTGTATCTTTTGCTCCAGTAGACACAGGTATAACCCCTAATAAATTACTCTAAATTTAGCTGTTTGCAGGTTATATCTGTCTCGCTCGCCCTTACGAATAAAAGCAGACAGCAGTATTACTAGTGTGACAAGACAATATGATTGTAGTCGCTACGGCTTAACACTGCAACTTAAACATTTGACGTGTTTTGCTATTTTGAGCATTGCATCTATAAAGATACAGCGTCATTTTGTAAAGGCATATTTAATTCATATACAAATTTTACGAAGTAAAAGTGAATATGTAACCGATTATGAAAATTAGATTGGAACCTTTTTCGACAAAATTAAGTTACAGTAAACTTAATTTATAGTGTATTTATTGGTACTGCACGACAGATCGTTTTTCTAGTATCCATAGTTTTTTGTATGGGTGATAATGGAATGGTAACTCCACCTGCGGTATCGATATATACTGGCGGAGCACCAGTGAAGTATGATAGATGAGGATGAAGTAGGTCAGTTAGCCCATCGTGACGAATTCGACAAGAATTGTTCACGATGGTTTCCAGGAGGAACCACGTAGAGGTCGACATATTGCTAGCAATAGGACTGTCAAACTCCATTGCTAACAATCCCTTTCCCCCCAAGTATCCATAGTTACAAACATGCAAGCTTATATCTAATAATAGGTATTTATTTAATTCCTAGTAACAGTACCGTAAACTAAAAACCAATACTATGGCACGCCTTCCAAATTACAAAATTGATAGAAATTTTTATTTACAAGTCGTTTATAATAATTTGCTTTTGGAATAAAATCCCTGTAAATCTACGCAGAGCACCCAGTAAGCATATTTTAAGAAGACTTTTCAATTATGTGTTGAATCAACAAAACCAGTTCTAGTTACAAGTGACTCAATAGTTACTATATCTCATAATGCTTACCGTTGTTTTAATATTATATATATTTCTTATATATTCGTATATACATGTATATTAAAAGTAATGTATGTGTTAAATATGTTTTTATTATTTATTTATTTATTCTTTATTTACCGCATTACAAAAAATCATCTTATGTAATAAATTATATATAATCTTATATATTATGTATAATTATTTCAATATGTTACTATAATTATGTCTATCTTTATTTATATTTTTCACCACGTCTGCTTTGCTTTACCACATATGCTATTATTATTATAAGGTCTATATTAATACTAAATACATTCAAATTATTTAAATTGTATTAAAATCATGCAAGAAGTATCGTTTTAATTTACATTTGATGTTGCTAATAGTAATGTATTATTGTAGTAATATCTCGTACGCCGGTGGGTAGTTCATTAATAAATCAAGGAACTAGATAGTCAGCCGTACGCTCACCATAACAGTTATATATATATATATATATATAAACCTACCTACGATATTCTCTGTAATAAAATATTAATTAAACAGCCAAACGGAGTTATGTGGAAGCAATAATAAAAGTATTATAAGCTTAATCCTTGTAATCTGAAGGAGTTCAACTAAGCCCAAAAAGTAATTATCTGGGTACCTTTTTATAATGTTTAAGTACCAAATGAGTAAGCATTATTATTTAATCCGAGTTCATCCGGATCACCCGGGTAAAAGGGTCAACATCCCTTCGCGCTGACTTTAAATGGTTCTGTTGGGAATTCTGTTATCTAAATCCATATAGAAGTGTCTAACTACATATAGGAAGTACATATAGGCTTTGTAGATAAACCCATTCGACTGATGTAAGGATTTTATGAATTAATTTTGATATTTTACATTTGTTTTAAATATAAAATATTTAATACGAATGTAAAGATTAGATTAAGAAATAAATCCTTACCTAATAGTAATGAAACATAACATCGTTTTTCTTAAGAATGGCAATGTTTTAAGTTTCATGTTTATTTATTAGCCTTTAAAGTTTAATAAAAAAATAGATATATACACGTTATTCTTTATTCTTTATTGTACATAAAAGGTTATTAAAATGTAAAAAAAAACCTAATAGTGTACAAAGGCGAGCTTATCTTCAATAGAGATTAATTCCAACAAATCCAATATGAGAAAACTGACAGTTCATTAGTAGTTACAGTCATACATGTGTACCAATCGACTTAAATGTTATAGTTAAAAATAAATGAATGTCTTTACAATTGAAAAGACCAATAGGTCTAAATAAATAAATAAAAAATATATAAGTAAATACATAATAAATAGATAGATATATATTATATATAATACACAAATATAATAAGTAGGTACACCAGCATTGTGAGAGGTAATAATTCTTCAGACGTGATTTGAAAATCCCAATACTTGGGCTATTTCTAATTTCATTATTTATCTTGTTTTTTTAATTCCGTTATACATAGAAATATTTGGTGGAATTAAAGTCACAGAATTTCTATTCCAAAAATTTCAAAATCGACTATTTATAAAGATTGTGCTAAATTAGTTAATGTTTTTTGTAGATATGTTGCATTATTAAGCAATTTTAGAAAATATTTTTCAAATCAACTAGGTTTATTCCTATGTTTCTATGGTTTTTTTTTATGGATAATAATAGAATGGTAATCCCGCCTGCGCTAATGGGGTGGGACGCCAGTGAGGGATGATAGGTGAGAATGAAAAGGCAGATCAATTAGCCCATCATAATGAATACACCTGAAATTCAGCCCGACAGTTTCCAGTGGGGACCACGTGGAGGTCGAACCCCGTCCCATTACTAGCAATATACCCTATATTGCTAGTAATGGGATTGGTAGTCCGCATTACTAATAGTCCCTTCTTCACTGTGTTTCCACATTCTATCAGCCGTTAACTGTCCACTGCTGAACATAGCCTCCCCCATAAGGTGAGTTTTGCTAGTAGTTGCCACGCTTGGCAGGCAGGTTGGCAACTGCAATTTTACTGTTGATGATGATTTAAGAGGGACGCTAAATTCTAATGTCTATACTAATATTATATAGAGAAAAGATTTGATTGTTTGTAATCGATGAACTCAAAACTACTCAACCGATTTTAAAAATTCTTTCACTTACAAAAAGAAACATTAAAAGCGAGTAATATAGGCTACATATTATTTCCAAAGATTCTATCTACCCGTGAGAAGCCGGGTCGGATCCCTAGTATATAATTAAAAATAGTCGCAAATACTTTTTGAATTTGGGTCTAAAGGATATTATAAATTCTGAAAGGTAAATTGAAAATTAAAATGTACAATTATATTTCTTGGTTCCTTCTCGGAAAATACGTTAACAAAATATAATAATTATGGCGTATTCAAATTATGTTACAATTGGCGTTTCATAATATTAACAATTATGAAATTTATTATTTGATTGATTAACTAAATTATACAGAAGCTCCGTATAAACCCAAACAGTAATTCACACACCCCAATTAATTTAATTAAATATTTAGTTTCGAAATTGTCTCCCAAAAGGCTAGACCGTTTGCTAAATTCATATTTTGTTCGCAGGATACTTCTGGCACATAACTGATCTTCATTATGACCCATTCCACAATTCCCCGGAGTTCCATAGAGGTAAGGTCACTTTGCGTTTGAATTTATCTTTATTTTCTCACTTGCTAAGCCAGGACGCGTCGTAATTGTGAAATATTCTCCTATGAAATTGTGAATGTTATGTAGTTGCTTGTGTAATATTTTGTTGGGAAATTTTAACGCAGTGATATTGCATTCATTCGAGGATATAACTAATGCTTGTTTTATTTTATTTTATTTTATTTTATTTATTAGGCGCACATAACAGAAGTTTACAAATAAAAATTGTTAGTCAATTAAGTTGGTTTCGTACAATATATACTGACGTCGAGTTATAAGATATTAAATGTTTTATTTATATTTCAGTGTGAGATTAAATTAGAAAATTTTATGATAGCTAAATATAAAAAAAAGGAGTTTATTGAAGGAATCGTCGAACTCGCATAGCGACAACTGAATAAACAGTCAAATGAGTTAAAATAAATAATATATTAAATGGTGTTATGTTTTCAGTCAGCACTACATAGTATAAAACAAAGTCGCTGTTGCTGTCTGTCCGTCACTGTATGCTTAAGTCTTTAAAACTGCGCAACGGGTTTTGAAGCGGTTTTTTTGATAGATAGAGTGATTCAAAAGGAAGGTTTATAAGTATAATACATGCATAATATAGTAGAGAAACACTGATAATTTTAGAGGTTTCTAATGAGATGTGATGTAATGTGCACACGTGCGAAGCCGGGGCGGGTCGCTAGTGTTATAATAAGTAGTCTTTCACAGGGAGACTTTATATAAAAGTCGTTTGTTTGGATAATTCTGTTACATTCGTATTTCTGCCGTGCATCAGTTGTATTTGCATGGATATGTTTTAATTATAACGGTAGGATACGATAGTGAATTATTGTTTAAAACAAAATAAACCATGGTATAATACTTTTTCTACTGTTTTTGTTCACTACTTTTTCTACTATTTTACGTAGAATCTATCACAAATACACAGGTATTTATGGATTTTGAAAATCTGAAATCTGTATCCTATACATGATTGTACGGTCGTACATTTCCCACAATACCTCATTATCAATATTAATAACGTCCTTATAAATCGATACACCTATTTCAGTCACTGATTGTATATGACCCTGATTCAACACACCATATTATTTACGTAGTTAGAAACACAAATTGAACAACAGTAGCGTAAATCAAACAAGAATAAAGAAATAAGTTTAGCGTAAAGTAAATTAAGGGGTTCACCACACTCTCGGGCGAAATGTGGATGAATTGTGTTCATGTTGATTTCTACAGTCATCTGAAACATGTTTATATTGATTACTGTAACATAAAAATATATTAATAATTAATTTTTATTATTAAAAAATATTTGTAATAATCAATAATATAACGTTAATGATATTTTTAATAATATATAATATATGTATATATTTTTTTTAATAATCGATTAATAAAAAAATATATTAGTTTAATTTAGGTTTATTAAAATACTTTATTTACCTAACATATTTTACTGATAAAAATATATTTATAAAAAAGATTTTTATTAAAAATTGTAGAATATTTTTTTTTTTAATATTTATCATGTATCTCGCTGGATCAAATTCTCCGTTGGTATATTTTCAATCTATTTATAATTTATACAATATTTTGTTTGCGTTAGGATGCAGACACAACCGCGGTAACAGTGAACACAACCACCGTAACGGACGGCACCGCGACCACACGTGTGACAGCTCCTGGTCCCTGATACAGAGTGCAGCGGCTCTGATGGCGGAACGGCATCCTGATACGTTAGAATTCGTGCTTTGGACTGGGTTAGTATATTTTCGATGGTGCGGATACTAATTTGCAGCATGGCAAATTTGAACACTGACAACTATTAATGCACATATATTTAATGGATAGCAATGGAATGGTAACTCCACCTACGCTAACGGTATATGCTGGCGGAGTACCAATTAGTGTCGAGAAATTATGAAAACAGGTCAGGTTTTTTTTATGAATGATAATAGAATGGTTACCCCGCCTGCCCTATCGGTATACGCTGATGGAGTACCAGTGATAGATGACAGGTGAGGACAAAAGCAGGTCAGTTAGCCCATCGTGACGAATTTTACAAGAATTAACCACGATGGTTTCCAGGGGGAACCACGTGGTGGTCGACCTGATATATTTTTTTATACAACGCAGGGGGCAAACGAGCATGCGGCTCACCTGATGGTAAGTGACTACCGCCGCCCATGATCACCCACAACACCAGCGGCATTGCCGGTGTGCTGCCGGCCTTTATTGTTAGTAATGGGGCTATTAGATCCCATTATTAACAATCCTTTGTCCCCAAACAGGTCAGTTAGACCATTGTATCGAACTCAAGAATCAACCACGAGGAACCATGTGGAGGTCGAATTGACATTTCTATACTGATATTGTTAGCCAAAGGGACGCTAGTCCCAGTTACTCACAATTCCTTCTCCCCCTCCCACGCATACTAATATAGGTGAAATAACACAAAATAATTCAAATCAACTAATCAATTTTAACAGGGACATACTTTCATCATCTCTGGAGCACGTCAGCGAAGAGTTCAAACTTGAAGCAGTGAGGAATGTAACAGATATCCTTAGTCGTACATTCAGCAGTCAGTTCGTATTCCCAGCACTGGGCCACAACGATCCACCGCCATCAAGAAAGCTTGTTGATATGTGGATGCAGTGGTTACCGACGGAAGCCTTACAGACGTTTGAGACTGGTGAGTTAGATTAATTATGTTATGTGAATTATAAGGAAGAGATTACTTTATTTTTAAATAATTTTTTATAAATAATTAAGATATAAATAATTAAGAGGTTTTCGTTTCTCACTCATATTATTAAAGTTAAAGTGAATGAATGAATAAATGAAAACTTATAGAGTTTTCATTTAATCATTTGTTCCCATCAAAGAATTATACAGATTATAAATATTAATAATATATATATACAAACAAAATTAATAATTAATTACATAAAAGCAAGATAAAGAGGCAACAATGGGCGGCCTTAACGCTCAACAGCGATCTCTTCTAGGCAACCATGAGAGAATGAGTTTGTATATTTGTTTGTTACGTCTTAACATCTTAACGGTGGACTATAAAATTTCTTATTCATGTACTATATGGGCTGGAGAAGGACATAGGATACTTTTTCGCCCGGTTAGCGAATATATCAAGGTCACGCGGACGATTTATGGGAAAAAGTAAGTTTATATATTTTTGTAGCTACGTTACGTGATCTCGTAATCAATTCAGAATTGATTTACATATATATTTTTTTGGTTCCAAATTAAATTATAACAATTAAAACTGTATAGAAAATCTTTTGCGAAACAAACAGGCGATGTTTCAAACTCTCTGATTCACTTGGCTACTATATAGATATTATTAAATAATCCAAACGTTAAATTATTTATATTTAAATTTCTTATACACAGTATCGTATTACATATTAATATTGTTCTTTTATATTTCTTTATTTTAGTTTCATATATTACTTATTTCCACTGTTTCATTTATTCTATAGCAAAAGTTATTCATATCAGTTGATTAATTTTCACCCTTGCAACCACCGTTAATTATAATTATAATACCGTAGCATCACGCTAATGCATAATAGGTCTCTATATATTATGCAAATTTAAACTTTATCTCAATTTGTAGAGAACACCATTCAGCTTATCTTAAGCGCGAAACATTGTAACAGCTTGTTGAAGCGGCAAATATCGGCTGATCGCCGTCCCATTTTTCTCGGTAACAAAAAAACAAGTGAAAAAGCTTTTACTCTGTATTATATTGGGTATTTCGAAGTACATTAACGCTACTTTGGTAACATTTGGAAGATCTTTTTGTCTTGTACTGATATTGTTGAAAATGATAATAACAGAGGTATAAAATGACAATTATTTTAAAATATACGTAATTTTTAATACATAATGTATCTAATTCAAGTCATATTTTTTGAAAATATACGAATGATACTGTCACGTATCATTTCTTTAATTATATCAGCCATCTGACCACTGCTGAAAATAGACGTTCCTCTTGGAAGAGTTTTATCAGCAGTTGCCAAACTTGGCAAGCAGATTGGCAACCACAGTATTTTTATTATGCAACTTAGAATGGCAACAAGCTGTCGGCCCACCTGATGGAAAGTGGTAACATATGCCTACATATACGAGCAGTACCATGGACATACCAGAGTACACTGTTTTACACATGATACCCCCCATGCGTTGCCATCCCTGAGGATTAATATGTTATTCCTCTGTACCCTGTAAAATTACTGTCATATCCCACCCTTCAAACATTTACAATTTCCATGAACAACAAAAATCGAGTGACCTAAAATCTAATAATATCCTATTCCTTATTAATATCCTAGATATTATTCTTTATTCTTTATTGTACACAAGACATACTGTTAATTACAATTCATTATAAACATAATGTACATGTATATTAATACCGATTTTTGATTTTTAACAAAATTTTTTAATAATGTTCATTCGTCTTTTAAAGTTTGTCGTCAGTCGTCCATCACCTATTTTAAAGAATAAAATGATTAAGAAAATCTAATTTGCAAAAAAAGGATTTCTCTAATAAGACTTTACTTTTTTATAGGTGGATATTATACAATAGAGCAGTCTCACAGCAAATTATGTATAGTGGTGCTGAACAGCGTACTATGGGCTGGTGGCGCCGCCAGGAATGACAATCCTCACCATCACAGAGCGCGGGCCCAGTGGGAGTGGCTCGAGAAGGTGCTCAGCAAAGCTAGGAGGAAAAAGGAAATGGTTTGTCTTTATTCATATATAGAATAGAAATTTATTATTTGATACATCTCATTTGTGTTTCAACCGTGAAGCAGTTGTGTTTGCATGGCTGTGTTTCGGTTTGAAGGGTGGGATATGGCGTGAATTTACTGGGTACAGAGGAATAACACCTGAGTCCTCAGGAATGGCAACGCATGGGGGATATTATGAGCGAAACAGTATACTCTGTTATGTCCATGGTACTGCTCATGTCTATAGGCGACGGTTACCATTTTCCATCAGGTGAGCCGTCAGCTTGTTTGCCATTCTAAGTTGTATAAAAAAAAACATAAAGTTACAATTACAAGATACAATGGACACACTAAGCGAACCTGTATCGTGAACACCCGATAAAGATTAATAATTCACAATCTGTTACTATAAAAATATAGATAGTGGACGGATATTAATATAGAAGAAAAGGAATATAAAATTGACATAATTATGAATGAAAGCAGGTCAGTCAACCCATCATGACGAAATTCACAAGAATTAACCAAGTCCACGCAGTTTCTCCTGGAAACCATCAGATTCCAGAAACTGCGTGGAGGTTAACCTAATAGGGTATAATTTTAGTAATATGGCTGTTACCCCTTTCCTAATTAACCCTTTTCCCTTAAAATTTTAATATAATTAATTGAATATTTTTAATTTGAAGGTATACCTAGTAGCGCATGCTGGTCCCGGAGTGGAAGAACGGCATAATGCCGGCAGCTCGTCAGCTGCTGGCGGTGGGGAACTGACTCCAAACGCGAATGGAAGACTGTTGCACGTGATACGAACGTACAGCGATGTGATAGCTGGACAATTTTATGGACACCGTCACGCCGATACCTTCAGACTTATTTATAGTGATGGTAAGTGAAGTGATTACTATAGCGTGATACTAGTGAGAGATGATACGTGAGGATGAAAGTGGGTCAATTGGCCGCGATTATTTTCCACGTGGAGGTCTGCCAAATAATAATAATAATAAATTTATTTGCTTTAAATAGGATAGATACAGGTAGTTTTATGTTGATGTTGTTTATAAATGTCACATGGGGATTTTTTTTCAGACTTGTACAAAAGTCGATCGCTTGGCAGGACACCAGTGATAGATGATAGGCGAGAATAAAAGTCCCATTCGTGTTTCTACCGTGAAGCAGTTGTGTTTGCATGGCTGTGTTTCGGTTTGAAGGGTGGGATATGGCATGAATTTACAGGGTACAGAGGAATAACATGTGTTGTCCTCAGGAATGACAACGCATGGGAGAGAGGCCTAACATGGGCAAAATAGTATAGATAATGATGTTATGTCCATGGTACTGCTCATGTCTATGGTAAATTTCTTACCACTTTACATCAGAAGTGGAATAGGTGGTCCGATTGAATCAGAAGATTCTTGTTTGCCATTCTAAGTTGTATAAAAAAAAAAGTTGATATAAAGTTTTGTAACCATTTACAGAATAGCATGTTTTTTAAATGTCACATTAAACAATACATGGGATTTTTTTAATGGACGATAATGGAATGGTTATGGTATATATATGGTATGGTTATATAATGGTGAATACTTTTAATTTATTAACCATTGAAGCTGTCACTTTTTTTTGCTAGTTATTAAGAAAAATCTATTTATAGATCTTCCAAGATATAAATATTTATAATCTAAAGTGTCTCCGAAATATCTCGATGTTTTTGTGGATTACAAAAATATACTTACTGTTGGAGAAATTATGTTGATTACTATCTGTTTATTTTCTACTTATTATTGTCTACACAAATCAGCCTGAAAGCTAAAAATTTACGATTCAATCCCTCTGTCCCGTTCTTAAAATTATTACCAGTAAATTTTACGTTAAAGACTCACAAGGGGGTCGAAAGCCACTTTATGTAATTAATACTCTGCCGTTTTTGATGTCATTCATTTATTTGATAGTAGATTGACGATTTGTCTTAAATGTTTATTTTGCTTTGGTAACATTTTAGTATCACATGAGCTGTATTTTTGACTACCTTCATATATATACTACCTGCCCCGGTTTTGTACGGGTAGATACAAAGATAAAAAGTCTATTTTATATTAACTTATTAAAATAAACATATTATTGATACTTTTTCTTACATTATTGTAATATTTGTAGAAATCTCAAATTTTTTTTAATAATATATAGCCTATGTTACACGCAGAAAATTTAGATTTCTATAGATAAAAGAATTTTTAAAATCCGTTGGGTAGTTTTTGAATTTATCTATTACAAACAAACATACAAAAAATAAACACGAATAATTATGTTTTTGGAGGAAGAAATATAAGCTGACCGACCTGGGAAGTGGCTACAGTCACATTTAAAGTACAATATATGTTTTCCTTATCAATTGCAAAAATAAAATTGATACACGTAATGTAGACGCAAAATGAACCATCTGAACTCAGAACATCTTATTTTTTAAGTCGCCTAAATTTATCACATATTTTATTTTCTAACTTGGATTATTTTTTTATGTACATATTTTATAACATACATTTTTGGTACCCACGCATACCTAATCTTTGTTAGAACTTTTAGAGCTAGTTAAATATTATTTTTTTGTGATTGCCTAAATATATATTTCTATTCTAGTTAAATATTTGCTTCTAGGTCAACCTGTATCTTGGGCGTTACTAGCGCCATCTGTGACGCCTCGAGGCGCTGGCAGTATCTCAAATCCAGGACTGAGACTTTATAAATTCGATTCTAATTCTGGAAAGGTAATATTTGTAACTTAAGACTAAAGATGAATTGAGATTAGGCAATAAAGAACAATCAATAATTACCTACTAGACGCAAGTGCTACGACTAAATTTCAAAATGGTAGAGGTCGAGGGAGAATTTAAACAATATATTTTTACCCCGCTTATTATTCAATACACGAATAAAGCTAGTTATTTGTTAAGGTGGTTGGTTAATAAACAACATTGAACACAAAATATTAGATGGCGCTAGAATCGAGATTTGTGGTTTTTAAAGATAATTTGAGGCAACATTTCTAAATTGGCGAATAGTTTTATTTATTTTTTACCGATATAGTAATAATTTATCATAATTTTTATCATTATTCTCTTGTACTGTACAACTTTGAAAAAAAAATTACTCACTTGCAAGAAACATTACGATTGTGTGGGTTATAATTCATTTAGGAAAAAATCGCGTATTATCTGTTATTTCTCATTACTACATATTAATAAGAACCTCAACCCGATTTTAAAAAAATACATCAAATTATCTTTAATTACAAAATAATCACCAAAAACCACAAGTTTCCATTCCAGCGCCATCTAGAGTTTCTTGTCTAATTTTGTTTAGTGACTGACCACCTTTAGTAAAAAATAAATAGCTATCTTAACGACTATAAATCCTGATAGGCTAGTCGTAAACATTTGTTGACTGTTACCTTTATCACGACCGAAATTCTCGACATGCTTACATTTTGCCAAACATATTAAAACCCAAATGTAGCGGGAAACAATCCTACCGCTGTCTTTACAATTTGGTATATTAACGATGTTTTCTACCCTCAAAGAGTTAGCTGAAAATATAATAAACAAAGATTTTGGTGCCTTTGATGTCTGTAAGTCTAAGTACGTAAGGTACGTAGCTCTTAGTTAGTAAGTTCTTGTAATTTTTCTTATATTTTATTTTTTATTTTTAGGTGTTGGATTACACACAGTATTATTTAGATGTAACAAATAGCCGAGGGGAGCTCCATTGGTCTATAGAATATAACCTGACACAGTATTATGGACTGAGGGAAGTGAGTGCTACCTCACTAGACGCGCTGGCGGAGAGGATAAGAAATTATCATGATAGAGGAATATTTGCAAAGTGAGTGCTTACTAAAGGACCCTCCTTTTACACCCTCTCATACATATTTCATGTAACAGGTGTATGGGATAGTTTTATATAGACTTAAAGGGTTATGTCCGATGAATGATTGAAAATTATAATATTCTAAAAATATTTATAAATATATAACAACATGACATAATAACAAACATTACTGTTATAATGCATTTGTTGTATACATATAATAATTAAGTACAGATTTACAATTACCAGTTTATTTTTTTTTTTATGAAAAAGCATAAAATGGTAACGGTATACGCTAGTGGGGCATCAGTAAGGGATGATAGGTGAGGATGAAGTAAGTCATTTGACCCATTATGATGAATTTATCAAAAATTAACCATATAGTTTCCAGGGGGAACCGCGTGAAGGTTGACCGGATAGAATATATTGCTAGTTAAGGAAGGTTAGATATCATTGCTAACAATCCTTTTCCCCCTATTTTTACTAGTTATCTACTTATAAATACAAGCTTTGGTTGTCTTAAACTAGATGGCACTGTTCCAAATGTATTTATTATTATTTACTTTGCCAGGTATTTAACGGCGTTGCGCGTACGACACTCTACAGATGTATCGGACTGCGATGCAGCTTGCGTATACGTCCACTACTGTGCAATAACACGTGCAGACTATAACGATTTTCGTACGTGCGTCCGAAACCCTGCGTCGGCGCTGGCGTCGCGTGCCCCCCACAACTCCGCTGCCATCTTGCTTTACGCCATCTTGATTTTAATATCCTCATAATCTCTTTTGGTGCTGCTATCTAAAAGGAACTAAAAATTAGGTAATCTTGTTTACCTTTGAGTATTTAAAAGCTACTGAATGTAAAGAATTTTAAAATGAAATTGAAATATTAAACGTATTTTCGACGTATGTTTTTGTGGGAGTACCGTTCGGTTTTTCTTACTAGACCACTTCTTTTGAGGGGTGCTAATAGTTTATATTTCACCATGTATTATGTATAGCTTATGTATACTCAAGGGTAAAAATATAGTAAATCCGTTATTAACTTTAAAATGTGTTTTAATTTTTCTGATTCTATGTTTCGTATTAATAAGAAATTCTCATCGAAATTTCCTTTTTTTTTTTTTTTTAATATGATACTTTTTGAGTAGAGAGACATATCTATAAAAATAGGCCAACAATAAAATCTTCGTTTACGTTATTTGTATGTAGTCGTATGTGTAAATAGTGTATAAAACATTTATTATTCAATATAAAAAATATATCTAGAAAAAAAATGTGGCTACTTTCTTTTCTCGTAGTTTTTTTTTATATCAAATTAATCTATCATTGAGATATATTATAATAATATGATTAAAATTGCCTCATAATAGTTATTTGTAATTTATTTCGTTAATAAAAGACTCAGACCAACAATAAATTTATTTTTTATGAAACCATTATTTTGAATGCGTGTGAGTAAGGAAGTATGTAGTTTTTTATATTTTAAAAAGTAAGCCAAAGAGTAAGGACAGGGATATTAATTCATTTATTTCTAATTAGTTTAATTAATATAATACCTATTTATCAACCTCAAAGTATTTGTCATAAAAGATTATATCATATTTTGAATTAATTCATTTGTTATTTTAGACGATTTTAAAACTTTTTTCTGGCAACACCAGTGCGTTAAAAATAATGCTGATTTAGACCGGCTAATTTATATGAGTATAACTCGATATGAGTGTGAATTTGGAGCAAATGTGTGCATAATGAAGAGTATATTTGTTTAATCAAAAATGGTTCTAAAAATTTAACTTTATTGTACGTAAAAATCGTTCTTTACTTTTTTATTGGTCTGAGGCCAAATTGTCTATTGTAAAAAGATTCAAAGCTTTAATTTTGATAATTAAATTATATATATATTAAAAATTGTTGGTGTATTTATTAGTTCGTTTGTGATCCTCGTCGCTAATTTGATTGTGATATACATAATAAACTTATAAGTTTTGTACATATAATGTTACGTACGTAAGCGAACTGAAAGTCAGTGTAACTAATAAATTGCAAATTTTAAGGACATTGGGTTTTATTTTAATATTAATATAACTTTATTATGAAAATTTTCGTAAAAATACATTATATTTTAATATAATAACTAATGATTTAACTTATATGTAATTTAATCGAAGAAGCTCGACTAGTATCAGGACCATTCGAGACCCTTAGTCATGAGTGACTCCCATAATGTCGCACTCGGGTCACAGACAGAAACTAGTCGAGCTTTCTCGACTAAAATATACATAAGTTAAACTAGTAATTATTATATTTAAATATATTCAATATTTATATGAAAGAAAAAGACTACACAGCATTAAGTCAGCTTTTTGTATCAAACATTTTTTTGTAACTTGGCCAATAAAGAAAAAAAATAATAAATTTATTATATTATAAAAAATAAATAATATATTAATTAACCTCCAAGAAAAGAGCATATTCCTTTCTAAAAAGTCGGCAACATAGCTAATATATATATATATATATATATATATATATATATATATATATATATATATATATATATATATGATATATATAAGCGGATAGCCTATAGGCGGCGTTAATTATCTTGCATACCTCTATTTTATAAAAAAAAAACGTAATTTAAAATAATCTAATTAGTATCAATTCAAGCTTTTGACGTTGAAAATTGATTTTGTATAGTATATCTGTACATCAAATCCTAACTACGGTTGCCAATCCGCCTACCAAACGTGGCAATTACTAGCAAAACGCCGCAAGGTGAAGGGTTATGTTCAGCTGTGGAGAGTTAACTGCTTATATGATAATGATGATACATACATACAATGATACATATATAACACAAAGGTACTCACTTACCATCAGGTGAGCCGCATGTTCGTTTGCCCCCTGTGTTGTAAAAAATAAATAAAAAAAATCTGTAATTTATTTAGAATTATTAGTATCTAATTTCATTATAGAAATTTAATAACGAAACGTACTTATCACAAAATGATTTCCACAAATTAAGTTCCAGTTCATTTCATATAATTCGTAACGAAATAAAATGAAATAAAAGAAACGATTGTATAGCTAGTCGAGTCGTTCCAACAAAGGATTTCCGAGTTAATAGGCGTCTGAGTTGAACGACTTATTTCGAATGGCAAGCCGAACAACTCAAACAGAGAATACGCCAATTTTATCCCTTTATAAAAATGCATGAAAACATATATATCATCTTAATGTTATTCCCATAACATATGTATACATTCTATTTTCAATATAAATATCAAACATTTACAATATGCGAATACATTTGGCCAATATCCAAAAGCAAGGTTCATATCGACATTTTCGTAAGAATAATATTCGCGTTTTCTAAGGGCTTTCTTAGCATTACTAATATCGGGGGTGCCCCTAAAACGCCCGAGAAAAGTGGGTCGTCTCCGTACTTTTTTCTAAAAGCTGCAAATGTGTCACCAATATATCAAGACCTACCCACCTCTTCTTGTCACATACGAAATGGATACTTGACAGAGCATTTCGATTCACTCTGGGAGGTCAAGTGACGCCGGTCGTGTATAGGTAGTTTATGTCGTGTGAATACCTCCCGATATACGAACGAATGGGTCACATAGTGGTAAAATGCTAGTAAGCAATTGTGAATAAGGAAAGGGAATTGTGAAAAGAAACATAATGTTAAGTAAAACTCAAACCTACACTTCAATAAACTTTATCTATGCAATTGTTTACACTTTTAAATCATTAAGTTTTTTTTATTGTGATTTTACTAGTGTAAAGTAAGTACAAAGCACACTCTAAATTGTACTTCTGTTATTTACAGAGTATATAAATAGACTAACAGTAATTAATAACAATATGCACTTGTTTACTACAATATACAAAACATGCACGCACGCACGCACTCACGCACGCACGCATGCACTCATACAAATACACGCCTGTTTTCTTTAATTTAAGTTTTAGCCTTACTTAATGCAAACTGTATATGTGTGTGTCATGTATTATTTTATCGTTACCCTATTCCCTTTGGCCGCAACAGAATATCAGTGCTTTGCTCTTTTGAGGGCGAAGCAATAAACTGAGTTGTGGTCATTTTGTATTGCTATGGCACATGCACAAACGAAAATTGTATTTAGTTTTATGTATTTTTTTTTTTTATCATTTATGCTATCTCGCTTTTTTTAGATATCTATGTTATAATTTGTGTGCTGTAAATAATGCAAATAAATTATCTATCTATCTATGTATGTATGTTCCAAATGGTGGCCTGGATTCTTGAGATTTTGATTTTAGATCTAATTTAGGATACAGTCAGCTACAAATTTTAATGTATTTATATATATAGTTAAATTTTTTCATGTGGCTGCCTGGTTTCTGTAAAAAAAAATAGGATTTAATATTTTGGATTAGGCTACTAGTACACAGTATAATATATAGTATGTACGAAATTATTTAGTTTCAATCGACTTCAAAAAGAAGGGGACTCTCAATTTAATTGTGTGTTTTTTATCTTTGTTACCTCACAACTATGTCAGTTGTAAACTGATTTGAAAAATCCTTTTTTTTTATCTGAAAATATATACTTAAAAATTTATCTTTCAGAAATATTTATTAAAAAAAAAAGTTTTTTTTCTAAAGAACATGATCTTAATTAACATTATATTACTCGTTCAAATAAATGGATATTTCTAATTAGCTCTGATTGTTTGTGTTATTAATTCCGATTTTATACAAGCGTCCTAAGTAAACTGGATCATCTATAATTTATTATAAACTCACCAGATGAAACACATTCACAAAGAGTAACGGATCTATTTGTAAAAGGATTATTATGATTTATATAAGCTAATTCATTAGTGACGATAAGATTAGCTGTAGTGTAGTTTTTATAGGTACGTACAAATTTAGTTCCTCTATAAACCCAGTTTCCATTTAATTTTTATTTCTAGCCTAATTTATTTACAAAGAGACTGCAAGGGTGTGGGGTCCTCAAATCGAATAGAGGTTCCGCGTGTGAGCACTCAATGAGTGTATTTAAATACTTAAACTCTAGAGTGCACTACTTAGCCATCGCCGAGTATAAAGTTTTAATATTAAACAAATGGAATAAATTTTGCATAAGTTTATGTTAAAAAGTTAGAAATCATTAAATTCGCGATTTAACAATGTGTAAAAGTTGAAAACAAATTGTTTATAACGATTTCTTAAATTTTTATTTTAATCTTCAGGATTGTTTTTTCTCGGCTATGTATCAATACTCCGACACAACTTTCGTGCAGTTTACTAGGCTTATTAATAATATGGATTGGTAATTAGGTCATCTCTAATTGTATAATTGTTACTTAGTATACATTCGTGCTTATCTGTGAAAGCTGTTTTACACCTTTAATTGATGTGTCCATATGGCCTTAAGCTTGGTAGGGAGGAGTGAGATGTTTTTGTTCAAGTAAACTTAGATTTAAGCATTTTTTAATAGTAATTTTTCAGTTTTTACTTACTTATAACATTGTACATTGTCTGCTTATTTGTTGTGAGCATATTGTTGGTGTGTCTTTTATAAATAAATAAATAAACTCTAAACTGTTGCAGACGGCAACTAGGGGAAAAGTACACTGGTACAAAAGAAAAAATTTGGAAGTAAAACCTCATATCATGTCGCCTGGTCTGTGCAGTAATATTATGGCTAATATCTTCCTCTTCTGGATTTTTCCCAATAAGAGGTTTTTTTTTTATAAATGAAAATGGAATAGTATAAAAAATAATATACGTTGGCGAGTTCCAGGCCCACGAACTCACCAGGAATTAACAATGAGGGAGAACCGCGTGGAGGTCGACCTGGCTACCCCATTACTACCTTAAAGCTAGTAATATATCCTGCTAGCGATGAGGATTAGGTCCAATTACCAACAATTCTATCATCCCACCTGATAAAGGTAAAGAGATACTATATCCTTAATAGTAGTACTAGCGGGGGGAAAGGGATTGTTAGTAATGGGGACTAACGCCTGCATTGCTAACAAACACTGCCAGGTCGACCTCCACACGGTTCCTCCTGGAAACCATTGTGATTAATGCTTGTCACATTCGTCACGATGGGCTAACTGGCCTGCTTTTATGCTCATCTATCATCCCTCACTGGTGTACGCCAGCGTATACCGATAGCGCAAGCGGGGTTACCATTCCTTTATTCATTAAAAAAACAGTAGTACTAGTTACCTATCGATAATTCAGACACAACACGTGACTCTAACCCTCAAGAATCCCGCCAACGTATACGGACAGCGTAGGCGGGATTATCGTTCCATTATCACCCAATAAAACCTCAAGTGATTGTTAGTATGTAATGAGTTTCACAGCCCCATTAATGGTGATATATCCTAACAGATTCACGTTTCTTCTAGAAGAATTAACCATCATGGTTAACTGTTATTGAATTCGTCACGCTGGATTGATCTTACTTCACCTATCCTCATCATCTTCATCTATCCTCACCATCTTCACCTATCCTCATCATCTTCATCTATCCTCACCATCTTCACCTATCCTCATCATCTTCACCTATCATCTCACACTGGCGCTCCACCAGCGTATAACAATAGAACAAGCATGATTACCATTACATCTACACCTGTTAAAACTTTAAGAATAATAACACTGACAGAACATAAGTTTTTGCCAAGAATATTACTCCATATACGATAGTTATCCAGTACAATAGAATATCAGTGCTTTGCTCTTTTTAGGGCAAAGCAATAAACTGAATTGTGACCATTTTGTATTACTATGGCACACGCATGAAGGAAAAAAAAAGAAATTGTTGATTTATATATTATGTATTTTGTTTTTTTTTTTTTGTTGCTTTTTTTATTTTCATACTTTTATCTCTTTTACTGTGTATTATGTGTATGTTTGTATTGTAATTTGTGTGCTGTAAGTAATGCAAATAAATTATCTATCTATCTGTCTACAATTCGAATTTAAATTTAAATAATAGAGATATTTCAGGATAAGTTCACTTATCCTAATTTCTGATTATGATTA